TTTTTTTTTTTTTTTTTTTTTTTTTTTTTTTTTTTTTTTTTTTTTTTTTTTTTTTTGGCAGTAATCCATGAAATGTAATCGATGAGTTTATGTTCACGTAAACTCTCTCTCTCTCTCTCTCTCTCTCTCTCTCTTTTATAATTGTTGGAAAGAAGTTCATGTCAACGAATTTGAAAGACAATGACCAACGGCTTGCTCCTTTACTTAAACAAGTGTAAAGCTAATTTTAGTAATCAGATACACTCATAACATAAGATAACAGTTCATGGTACAATGCTAAAAAGTAAAAGCAAATTTTCTTTCGTTGGTAGTTGGGATTTTAGTGATGATGTGGTTACAGAGTCATTAATGCATATCAATCTTGTTGATGAGTGATGTCTTCCTGCAGGTGTTACGCAGGAGAAATTGGAAGAAGGCTTGTCTCCAAGACATTGTGCCTTATCTCTTGTTGGTGAACCTATTATGTACCCAGAGATTAACACACTTGTTGATGAATTGCACCGAAGGCGGATTTCAACTTTCTTAGTTACAAATGCTCAGTTTCCCGATAAAATAAAATCATTGAAGCCGGTCACCCAGGTTTGCATGCTTTACAAATTTTCTTTTCTAAATAACATCAAATGTCAGGCTTATACTCTTGATAACTAGATTACCTAGCTGATTTCAATGATGCATGCAGTTGTATGTAAGTGTAGATGCTGCGACGAAGGAGAGCTTGAAGGCAATTGATAGACCACTTTTTGGGGACTTTTGGGAGCGGTTCATTGTAAGTTTCCTCCTACCCTCACCTGTTTCCAGGCCTGTCTCCTGAGCTAGACTGCATTGGAATTTATGAGAAAAGTAAGTTTTATGGGGATGTTAAAATAAACAATGTTAACTTAAACTGTTCCCACCTCAAAACCTCACTTAGCCAATCGCCAGTCTCTTCTTGCCCACACTGGGTGCTTAATAGTCAAATACATTTTTCTACAATCTCAGTTTTCCTGCCAAAGTAAAATTATACAACAAATGTGCCTCACTCATCTAAAAGGGAGAAAAACCCTTCTAAAAGGTATTCCTACCTTGAAGGAAGCATTTCATGATGAACAGAGCCGATATTTTACTAATTTTCATTAATTGGTGCTCGCTATCAGATATGCTTTCATAGAAACACTCTGCCATCTAGTATCCATCCCCAATGACTTATCTTGTGTATTTAAAAACCATATTCTCCTATTAACTTCCTTCCTATGGTTATTTTATCAGCAATTAAAATGATGGACTGTGAGAGAATTTCATTTCATTTGATATTTACTCAATTACTTTGGATGATTTGCAACTTGTGAGGTGTTTGGTGAATTAGATTGCTTATATATATATATATATATATATATATAAATCATTGATAGAAAATCAACTTGTGTGAAAGAACAACAAACAAGGAAAGACACATGAAAAGAAAAACGGGCTCGATCAAAAGAGAGGGGAGGGGAAACAATACTCAGAAACACATATAAGAAAGAACACCAACCTTCCAGTAATCTAAAAAAGAAAGAATTATGAAATAATTTTGAATCAAGAGCCTAAAGATAAGCCTAAACCTAAAACAACAAATATTTACAAAATAAATTTGAATTAAGAGCCTAAAGAGAAGAACCACTAGATTCCACACCTATCCAAGAGCTATCTCTTTCTAGGAATACTCTTTTATTCCTTTCCAACTAGATAAACTGCAAAACAACAAAAAGAGCCAGCCGTTCTGCCAAAGAACCCAACCTTGTTACAAGTTGATTACATCTAAGTGTTGTTATGCAACTTATTAAGAATTATTTTATCAAAAAAATTTCTCTTAAGTCATAATGATGAACATTAATAAATATTTAGAAAAGCTACAAAGGATGCAATGCACATGACTGCATCACGTCATTGTTGAATCTTTTTTGTTGATGAAAATGTTGTTCAGCTTTGTATGTTGTTGCTTTGTTGTCGTTATCTTCTAAGTAGTTTGCTATTCTTCTTTGTAAAAGACTTTCAGTTTCGTTCTTATCTATTATAAGAATCCCGACAGACATTCTGCTATCTAGTGTACATTGTCAAAAAAGAAAAAAAAGGCTAGATAAGACTTGCATGTTTTTTACTTTGGGGAAATGAGACTTTGATTGATTTCAACTTGTTATCCCATCAGAACTTAAGTTCTTTGATTAGTATGTATACTTAATCATGGTGCAAAAAAATTTGTGGATGAAACAAAATATTCTTTGAATTACTGATTTATGACTTTCCGTAATATTGCAGGATTCCTTGAAAGCTCTAAATGACAAGCAACAGCGAACAGTTTATCGATTGACATTGGTAAAAGGGTGGAACACAGAAGATATTGATGCCTATTCGAATCTTTTTAGTCTTGGTAAACCTGATTTTGTAGAAATCAAAGGCGTCACATATTGTGGATCGTGAGTTTCTGATCTATTTATTTTGCATTAGGTGGGGAGGATATTGATTTGAAAATTGTGGGAGCATAACGAGTCTAATGTTCTTCTGTAGATCTAATACATCAAAGTTGACAATGGAGAACGTTCCTTGGCATTCTGATGTAAAGTCTTTTTCTGAGGCTTTAGCTGCAAAAAGTCAAGGGGAGTATGAAGTTGCTTGTGAGCATGTGCATTCATGTTGCGTTCTCTTGGCCAAAACTGACAAATTTAGAGTCGATGGGCAGTGGTTCACTTGGATAGATTATGAGAAATTCCATGACCTGGTATGTATTGATTACAACTAATTTGCCATGAAACCTATGATGTTCAACCCCCTTCCTTTAACTTTTATCCTTTTCTAAAAATTTCAGGTGGCCTCTGGAAAACCTTTTGATAGCAAGGACTACATGGCTCCAACACCATCGTGGGCTGTATATGGGGCTGACGAAGGTGGATTTGATCCTGTTCAATCTCGATACCGGAAGGAGCGACATCATAGACCAAAACCCACATCCTGATAGTTTTGAATGTCCGGGTCAGTTTTGCTTAATGGTCTTATCGATTTTCTTTGAGGACTTTTGTAGTTTATATTATTCTCTTCTGTGAAACAGCCTAGGTTGGCATTACTTATTTTTAGAAAGCGCCTTGCGTGGCATATGCCCGTATACATGTTTAAACTTGTTCTACTTTTCTAATTATAGAAGATATAGAGCTTGCTTGGTAACGAAATTTCTAGGTTAAAAGATAAACTTTAATATGTAACATTTTATTTTAAAAATTGTAACAGTTTAATCCATATCATGAAAATTTTCATCAAAATTAAGTGTCAATTTTATTACATAACAACTTAAATTTACTAATGTTAGAATCTTATTGAATCTTAACAATGTTTTCATGATGGAGACCAAATTATAACAAAATTTAAAATACAAGGACTAAATTGTTGTATACTATAGTTGATGGGTTAAATTCTTACAAACTTTAAAATATATGATTAAATCATTAAAAAGTAAAGCTCAACCACTAAATTGTTACTTTCATGGACTAAAAGTGTTTTTGAGAAGTGTTATAGGTTAAGAAAGAATGTAAAGTTAGCTGAGAAGTAAGGCAATGTCTTCTTTTACATTTTTTCTGGTTTTCTTGAACAAAGATGATTATTAGATACAATTGCAGTTTTTGGTGTATTTATGCGTACTTGTGATTTGTTCATAAATGGAAACACTTATAGGGGATCCGTCCTAACCATTGTCCTTGGAGAATTAGATACACCATAGAGGTACGTGAATATGTCTAACACTAACTGTTAACATTAAGCATCTCTCCAGAGTCATGTCACCATCCGGTTAAAGCCTGTCTACCTTTTTTGGATTTAGCAGCAGAGGAGTAACATTATTTCAACCAGTCGGGCACCATGGCCAGGACCCATCGGTAGATATGGTACGTTAGGATAGCAATGGATCCTGCCATGTTGCCGATTTACCTACTTGCACACTCAACAATAATTGAACCTTCAATATTTACTGGATCCAACCTTCAGATTCATAGATCAAGTCCTGAAAAATCATTTTCTGTCTTACCTTCATTATTTACTTGATGCAACCTTTAGAATGAAAGAATAAGTCCTGAGAAATCAAGATCTGTGTTAGTAGTAGTAGCTTCAAAGATTTTTATGATATACATATGGGGTTGTGCTTGTGGATAATCAAGATCTGTGTTAGTAGTAGTAGTAGCTTTAGAAGTTTTTCATGATATGCATCTGGGCTTGTGGATATTTTCCCTGCTGTAAAAGTTGAAACAGATAGATAGCTGTTATAGGATTGTTCCAAAGCCAATCTTGTGAGTTTGAGTGCAACTCGCTGAAAAAGTACCCTTATTTGTTACTTAGTTCCAGGATGTTTAGGTTTGAATTGTTGATGAATGTTGAAATCTCAAGTGTATCTTCTTGCATTAAAGAATGATGTGTAGTACAGATTCTTCTGGAGCTTTTGGTAAACAAGCGTGGGGGTAAATGGTGGATAGACAAGATCCTCATCTGCTGGTCATTTGTCGCCAGGTAAATTTCTTTGGTCATCTGTGAAACTGACCAGAGTTTTACTGGTGGAGGGTTTAAGCTATAAAATAGAACATAGAACATAGAACATAGTTTGTTCTATTATTTGGTCATTTTGTTGTGTCTAGATTTGGGAATCTAAAAAAAAAAATTAAAGTCAAAGGATAATTGTAGTTTTGAAAGCTCGAAAACTAATTAGACATAAAACTCGTTCGATTCCTGCTGAAAAATGAAACGATCTATATGAATTTTAATGCTTCTCATCCATTCTTTGAGTGAGTCGGGTCATCAATTGTTGCTTTATCAATCTGGTTCATCAGCTGATTAATGACTAAAGTAGAGTCGAAGAGGTTCTAACTTTTAGTGGAAGTTGAGCACGGATCAAAAAGTTTCAGTTGAAGTGGAGATCAAATAAAAACAAAACTCGATAAGATTGTAGTTAAACTTTATAATTTAAATATATTATTTTAATGTTGCTTTTTTTAAAAGATAAATACATAGCAATTTCAAAAAAAAAAAAAAAAATTGAAATGGCCTAGAGTTGTTATAAACCAAACTTTTATGACATACCCATTTTTTCTAAATTTTAAAATATTACATTTTTATTCATTAAGTTTGATCAAATTTCTACTTAGGTCCATACATTTCTTAATTAACTCCAAAAACTACAAAATTTAAGTATTAATAGAAACTAATGTGTAAAATATAAAATATATAAATTTATAAACTCAAAACTCAAATATTTATGCCAAGTAATAAAAATAAAAAATATTAAGGTTTTGAATTATAAAGAGGAAAAAAAAAAAGAAAAAAAAAAGGGTATTTTCCCTAAAAAGTAAGGAATGAAATGGATTGAAATTCCGGTGAGTCCATAATGGGTGTGGGTTTACAAAAACTTCCCATTTCAACTCATTGTCTGTTTTGGTTTTGTAGGGCTGATTGGAGAAGGCATAATCAAAACTTGTAGTGGATTGGGTACAAAGATTTGACGTTTTTGGCGGCTCCTACTTCCCCCGCCCCCCAATCTATTATCCCCTTCTTCTTCACGCTCTTCAACCCGACTTCCATGTGCCCTCATGGCTCCCCTTTGATTCTGTATTGAACCACGCTTCCATTCTCTGGGTGTTCTCTGATGGGAAAGAAGAAATCCCAGAAGACCAAGGAGATTACAGTCGCCATACCTCAAACCTCCGCCTCCAAATCACCCGATGACGCCGCTGCCCAATCGATACAGCCCAGAAAGAGGGGCCGACCTCGTAAGGTCCTCGATGAACCACAGAACGAACAGGATAACAAGGAACTGCCACCGCCTTCGCCTCCGCCGCCCGACGTTGTTGCAGAGAAACCACCGGAGAAGAAAGCCAAAACCACCGTGGATGATGAGCCACCACCGGCTTCGAAACAAGAACGCGATCAAGAAGAACAACAATCAGGAGATGGTCCGAGAAGCAGAGGAAGGCGAAAGAACAAACCCAGAAAAAGTAGCTGACAAAAATTGGTAAAAAACGCTTTGATGGGTTTTTTTTTTTTTTTTTTGGATTTGGAAATCTGAAAGCCTGAAGAACAATCTCTGGTTTTCGTTTGTTGATTGCTGGGAAATTGTATTGTATTATTGTATTATTGTATTATTGTATTATTGTATTTGAAGAAATGGGGTTTGTGTATTCGTTCTGGGTTTTGTTCTTCCTCTGCTCATTATCCAAATTTCAAATCTGTATTGGAAAATTCAAATTTAAACTATGTTTGGTTGCTTCCTCTTCAATCTCTCCTGTTCTTTCCACACTCAAAAACCATAACAAAGATTATAATATCATTCCTTTTTTGTTTGTTGAGCTGAGATTGATTGAGAAGAAATGGAACAGTGGACTCAATTGAATCTGAGTATCCTTCCAAAAATTTGATGATCCAAAATTTTTTTATTTATGAATTAGTACATAATTTTCGTAATATATATTTATTTTATTTTTATTAACTTTGATGATTACTTTTTATTATTTATTCTCTTATTTTTAGATAATTAAGGTTTGAAAATAAAAAAATAAATAATTTATTACAATTCAAACTTTTGAAATAGTTGCCAGCTAGGAATTGTCAGAAGGGAAGAGAAGATATGTGGAGCCAGCTCATGATTTTATGGCACGTGAGGCTCACGTGCCAATATTATCTGCTAAGACCTATTACTCAAGTTCCGCTGTTGCATTGGCCGCGGTTTTGGTGCAGTTGATGGTGATGGTTTGTTTGTTCGCAGATAAAATGGCGTGTGAACTTCACGTTGTTTCCTGGCGCGTTGAGAGAAATGCCGGAAGGTACTAATAATAATGCATGTCGTGGACGTAGTTGTTTGAGAATTCTTTTTATTCAATTTATTTATAACTTTTCTTTTTTAAAAAAATAATTCATCTTTAAATTTAAAATCATATGTGTGAAAATTTTAATTTATTGTTGTATTTTTAAAAAAACAATTTATATTTTCTCACATTCACATAATGTATATTATTGAATATTGTTATTATATTTATTTAACTCACATCTCTAAAAATATAAAATTAAGCTTAATATATATATCAGGATGTGAATACCTAATTTCTTAATAGAACCTAATTTCTTAATAGAATATTAATCGAGTATGTATTATGACTAAACTAATCGAGCTATGTTGGCTATTTTAATTCAATTAATTTAATTGGTCAATGTCTAAACTCGAGCATTTTCTTAACTGGGTCTAAGATTTTCAATTTTCGAGTTTGAACTATTTATAACTCAGGTATCATAAAATATGCATCATCGATTAGGAGGTATATCGGTCCGTGCATATTGTCTAAGATTTTCAATGTTCGGAATTAAACTATTTGTAGCTTAACTATCATAAAATATGCATCATGGACCAAGAGGTATGAGGTTTAAATCCAATCGAGAGGTATTAATATTGTTATAAAAAATAATAATAATAATAGCTTATTATTAGTATATAGGTGTTATATATTGATTTATTTTATTGGCTATTCCATGTGCGAGGGAGAGTGGAATATCTTTTATAAAGTGATTTGATTTTGGAAGGTTTTCAGCCGACCTAATATAAAGGTCCATTAAATTAATGAGAAAAGATTTGGTCTAATAGTCAAATATTAACCAATCCTAAATTTTTAAAATAGCCCATCAATATTTTCTTGATTAAATAATTGACTAATACAGTAGCTTGCTTTTATTAGCAAAAATATTCTTTAAAAAAAAAATTATTTTAAACCATTTGAAAGGACTCTTTACCCCAAATTAATTAGAATTTAAAAATTATTTAATTAGATGAGATTTAAATCAATTAAACTATACTCGAGTTGATGTTATAAGATGGGTCTAAATTATAATAGTCTAATTTTTTAATTAATTTTTTTAATAAAAAAATTGAAAAGTATTAATTAAATAGGGAAAGACGGCCCATGGGCTTTCTTAGAATACAAGCCTATGGTAACACGTGGCCCATAAGAATGGACAACGGTCCGGACGCAATGCCACTAGGCACTAACCGCGCGATGGTTCTGGTAATGGTCAACGCTCTGGCCTTGCGCCAATCCGTACTCCTTGCAAATGGATAAGATCGATCTCTCCCATGTTGTCCTAATCTTCTTTTTTCTTCAGATTTACTTCTCGGGTCATTTCCCATCACTTTGTTGGGAAAAAACGGGTGGTTTTCCTCCTAACTCTCGAGGCATCCCACAAGTTTGTGGATAGTGATCCAATTTTCATCCATTTCAGACCTTTTCGTGTAGACCCACTTCAATGCCTCAGCGCAAATTGGCTTAATAATCGTTTCTCAGCGGCAGATTTCCAATTGGGCGACGGGGGACCCGATACTTGGTTGTGTGGAGGGTACTGGACACTCGCTCTTGGCCCGGAATCAAAAGCTTTAGATGTGTTGCTTGAAAGCGATTTGAGGACACTCGTCGCTCAAAGAGAGGGATACCGATCAATATCAGTCTTTATCGAGATTTTGAATGCTGGATTTTCTGTGGGATGTGAGTAATTTTCTACGTGTTTATCCAACTGTGAGAAGGGATTTTGATTTCTTTATTTTATTTGTGGCTCTATGTAATTCTGAAGCAATAGAGACCAAGGGTTTTTTTGTCTGGCCCTGTTTGTGTGATGTGGGTTTGTTCCATTGCTGGAGATTGGCACGTTCTTGAAGGAGACGATCAGTACAGAAATATTGATCCCAGACGTTTTATCTGGTGAGTGAGAAGTTGAATTCGATCAAATTTAGCCAAAAATAGATCTGGGTCTTTTCTTTTTCATTACAAGTATTTGGATTATGACTTTGCAAGTTATAAATTCATGATTAGGCGGATTAGGCGGATTAGGCGGATTAGGTGGATTCGCTTTCTGCTAACAGCTTCTGTGTTCTAATCTGAGGATTTTCATTTGTGTTCCTTAGATATTCTCTCTTTCAATTAGGTGTGTTTGTTCTTCCATTAACATCCCCAGATTATAAGTATGCTACTGATGGAGTTATTGGATATTTGGATCTCATTCAACTGGTTTGGGGTTCATTTTTCCCTTTAATTTGAGTTTGCCTGAATTGGAACTCCTTTTAGTTTGATTTTGACTCTAGTTTTCCCCTTAATTTAAGGGTTTGTATACCTGGATATTAGTTTTCTATTTATGAACTTGACCATATACCTCCGATTTTGACTCTGTTTTGGATGCATGCATATGGTTCTGATCATTTGGGACTGAATTTTTCCTTCACTTAAAAGATAAGATCATTTTGTTTCTTATATGGATGATCTTAGCAATATGTATGTTTCAGGGTTGAGTTGTGAGACAACCTAGATTTTCCTTTTGATCTTGTCGTGGACGATTCCTCCCATGTTGTTGCTACTTTGATCTTTAACCATGGAGGATGCTGTTGAGACGCTACCGAAAGTCGAAACGATCGATAACGAACTTCAACTTGCAAGATTCTCGTGTCACCAGTCTCGTATTAAAGCATACTCGTCAACCTGGCTCGATTTGAGAGTCTTCTATGTTAGGATTAGTAACTTCCAAGTCGACAGCTTGACGCCCGAGTTTCTCACACTCAACCATATACCTCTAAGTCCAGACACCCTTTTTGAGGTGAATGGTATTAGATGCAGTAGTCACTCAGAGGGCGTGTCTTCCTCTCTGAGAAGAGACAGGGCTGATAAGAAATCAGAAGAAGCTACTTTTGTGACTACTGATAATATAAGGTTGAGTGGAAGTGTAAAGTTTGAGGTATATGATAAGGAAGATTTGATTCTTTCTGGGATTCTCGAGATATCGAATTGTAATGGTTTGTTAGGCGAATCGAAAGGCAATGCCAAGAGGTGGAACATGAGTTGTGAGTCGAAGTTGTGTGCTGGTTTCTTGAAGGGAAAGCATATGATTGGAGCTGAAACCGCTTCCCCGATAATCGAGATTTACGTAGCTGGCAGCTTCTCAGGCAATCCTATAATCTTGACCAGAACTTTGCAGCTAAGCTCCCGAAAGAAGCCGAGTTGGAAATCCATGTTGGACGCCATTCCAGAGTCTGAGACACCTGAATCTAATGAAGATCACTTTCCAGAATATGATTTACAGGTACATCACTGATACTATGAGATTGCCTTCTCTTGATTAGATTGATTTGTTCATCTTTGGTCTGATTTGTTTATAGCCAAGTTACATTTCTTGTCCAAGCTTAATTATAGATCAAATGCTTGATGATAATATCTGAATCGATTTAGGGGGTATGCGCTTACTTGTTGAGAAAGCAAATTTAACCCTGATTCTCGTGCAATGACCGAGTTAGTAGCTTTGTGGATTAATCGTCATTTTCTGTGAGATCCCACGTCGGTTGGAGAGGGGAACAAAGCATTCCTTATAAGGGTGTGGAAACCTCTCCTTAGCAGACACGTTTTAAAACCTTGAGGGAAAGCCTGAAAGTGAAAACCCAAAGAGGACAATATCTGCTAGCGGTGGGCTTGGGTTTGGGCTTGGCCTTGGCCTGTTACATTTTCTGTCTACTTTCAATTGCTGCTATTGAGTCCCGACATATTGCGATGCAACTAAAATTATCGGATCATGGGGTTGGTTGGTTTAATGTAGTCTTGGCCTTCACATCCTCAAATACTCATTTACTTCTTGTAGGCCACAGAATATGCAAGATACAAACAGGACATCGACGACAACCACTACGACGACTACTACAACAACACGTACTGGAAGAGGAGAGAATATTTAGAGAATGAAGATGGTGAACTCTCCTGGTTTAATGCAGGTGTGAGAGTTGGTGTTGGTATAGGGCTTGGTGTTTGTTTAGGAATCGGCGTGGGAGTCGGCTTGCTCGTCCGTACCTACCGAGCGACGACTCGGAACTTCACAAGGCGGTTCATTTAACAAAGCCCCACAGTCATTGAAGTATGTTTTTTGCAGAGAAAGTTGTGTAGCTGAAATTTTGATTGTGGAAAAACTTGGATGCTTAAAGAGAGTGATGGAGCATTACTTGTTGAGATGATAGATCATCTTAAGCTTTGTAATCCCTTGTCTGTGCATTATAGCAGTGTGATTCTGTTGTGTGGAAGCTCGAAAATGGCAACTTTCTTTCTTTGTAGCCTTTTGTTGTTTAGCTCACAATCCCGAACAACTTGAACCTCCCGCCTTTAAGATAAAAGATATTAATTAAAATAATCGTAGTTCAGTAGTAATTGACATGTAATCATTTTATTTAAGTAAATGTTATATATATTAAGATTAAATTACAAGTTTAGTTCGTAAATTTTGAGACTTAGTAGAGAATCATAAACTTTCAATTTTATGTCAAATTTAATATTAAATTTAAAATTATAAAAATTAATTTTTAAAGTCATTTCAGTGATGGAAATTTATTTATTTATTTATTTATTTATTTAAGTTTTAAAGGTTAGTTCCAACCGAATTTGTTGTTTAGCGGCTAGAACATCTGACTTTCTTGATTTATCGTCTAGCCGTTAGGATATTTGACTTTCACTTCGAAGATCGAGGTTCAATTTCTCGGATTTTTTTTGGCATTTTATAAATTATATTTTTATTTTAATTGAAATAATTAAATTCCTTTTATTGGAGAAAGTCACAAAGGAAAAGGTGCGAGATGTCGGAATGGCATCAGATTCGGATCCGCATGAAATTTGTGCCCTGGCCCAAAGCGAAAATTGGCACGGACCACGCCTCTCTCGCCACGTGACCCCACAACGCCCATCTCACGTGGCGCTTCCAACCCAGAGCCCACAGACCTGCCGCCATCACTTCCCATGGTTTCGCTGTTCTAAATAAAAAAAGTTCTGCTTTCCAGTTCCCATCACCATCCTCGTTGAAGACGATATTCTCTTCCTCTCAGGTGATTTCAACTTTCTTCATCTTCTTCATACTCGGTTGCCAGCTCGGAATTGAACCTAACATTTCCTCTTTTTTGTAATCTTCGTATATCTTTACATATTCCGATTCTCTTTTCTTCTTTTTCTTTTCCGAATAAGAATCTCTCTATATCTGTACTACATCAATGTTTTGATTCCTCTGGTGCTATTTCATCTCGGAATTCGTACGAAGAAGTTTGGTCTTCTGAATGTTATGCTCCATTTTTGGTCGTTTTGGGATTTGATGCTCTGTAGTTATCAAATTTTGTGAGAACTATCAACAGAAGGAAAAGAAATCTTGATTTCTATTTTCTGTAGTTGGATTTGCTACTGAGATTACGAAATTAACGTTTGTTGCAGGTGACTTTTTCTTGTTTGAAATGGCTTCTTCCACTCTAATCTCTGACTCCGAGGCATGGAAGAGCCTGAAGGTACTTGGATTGGTTGGAGTGATGTTGAATTTAAGCTTCTTTTGTGGCATCATAATACTGAAGGTTATCTTGGCTGCAGGCTCATGTTGAGGACATTAACAGGACCCATCTGCGTGATTTGATGAGCGATGCTGCCAGATGCAAATCCTTGATGGTGTATGATGGTCTTAGCTCTTTTGGTTTGCTTGGAGTTCTTAGTTGATATTCATGCCGTTGCTTGGTTCAACCTTTATGATTTGTACTTGATATGTTTTAATTTGATTAACACGTTTCATTGACGATGCTAAACTTTTGTTAGTGAGTATGACGGGATCTTGTTGGATTATTCACGACAACGGGCCACCGCTGACACCATTGGAAAGCTCTTCAAGTTAGCAGAGGTGGGTTTTGTTCACTGCTATTACCGTGTAGTGGAAATTGTTGTTCTCTAATCTCTCTTCCCTTTTGTCCAATTCAGGCGGCAAATCTTAAGGATAAAATTAATCGGATGTTTAATGGGGAACATGTAAGTGCAGGTTTTCATTCCATTTCCGAATCGTGCTATCAATTTTGTGGAATCAATAGTATGATCTAGTAGTCTTCTTTTCTTTAGGAAGCAAATGTTGGCATTGTATGTATTTATTTCTGAATGAAAAACTATTTAAGTTGTCTCTGTCTTGTCCAAATGTGTCGAAAATCTGTATCACCAAGCATTTAACATTCCAAAAATAGAAGATAACTGTTCTTTCTATCCTTGTTTTTTGTGGCCTGTAGATAAACAGCACAGAAAATAGGGCAGTGCTGCATGTTTCTCTTCGTGCGTCAAGAGATGCAACAATACAGAGTAATGGAAAGAATGTTGTGCCTGATGTTTGGAAAGTTCTTGATAAAATCCAGGATTTCTCTGAGAAAGTTCGCAATGGTTCTTGGGTAAATATGTGTTTCTTATTATTTGTTGGCTCTAATACTCATTGCATTTCTAATACTAAACATATTTTGGTAGGTTGGAGCCACAGGAAAACCGCTGAAGGATGTTGTTGCTATTGGTATTGGTGGCAGCTTCTTGGGGCCTCTGTTTGTGCACACTGCACTTCAAACAGGTTGAAAAATTATTTCTTCCTCTTATATATACATATTTATTATTGTAGTCCATTGAGTAGAGTTGTCTCTAAAGTCTCTCATTCAATTAGTTCCTTCGAGTACGATCATCTCCTAAGTCTTGACTCATTCAATTGGTTCCTTTTAATTGTTTTCAACATGAGTCTATAGCTTATTTTCCACGGTATTTTTCAGATCCAGAGGCTATTAAGTCTGCTGAAGGACGTCAATTACGTTTGTAAGTACTCTGTGACACTTCCTCTGTAAATGAAAAAATTGAAGCAATCTACTTCAGAGAGCCTGGGATTTCATCTTATCAGAAAAGTTGTAAAAGGAGTAGGAATATTCCGAATCACGAAACTTTAACTAGTCTATAGATGAATTACTAGATTTATGATTTGTGGTTCAGCAATATCACTATTTTGTGCTATTGGAAACTGGGCTGAGAGAGTTTATCATTTCTATGCTGGGCTTGCAGTCTTGCTAATGTGGATCCCATTGATGTGGCGAGAAATATCACCGGTTTAAACCCTGAAACTACTTTGGGTAGGTTCTTTATTCATTGAACAGTATTTTTCCCAGGAACATTGTCATTCAAACTTCTACTCTTTATCGGTACCTTTATTTGTTTTTACTTTATTAAATATGCTTGCAGTTGTGGTGGTTTCAAAGACTTTTACCACTGCTGAAACTATGTTAAATGCCCGGACACTAAGGGAGTGGATTTCTGCTGCTCTTGGGTTAGTAACATTATCTACAATATTATTGTTAAGGTTGTTTTGGCATCTCTACTTCATACAGACATCGTATGGCATTAGCTTTGCAAATAGATTTGAGATGTTAACATAGCATTTAGCATTGTATTTCTGCATTTAGGTGTAATGTCTCTCTCTGGATGATGCTGGATAAGTTAACTTATTCAATTAATCTCTTTTCTTATTGTCAAGGATGGATTTGGTTTGAGCCTCTTCAAAGTATCCTTGAATGGTCTTAATGTTGGTGCTTGAGTTTGAGCCTATTTTATTTGTTGCGTCATTTAATGTTCTAAAACACTTATGTAATAAATTAAATATCATATATGTAAATTAAATATATAAACTTTTGATGTATTTTTAAATGGTTTTGTACATTTGACAAACTGGTAGACTTTATTTTCCCTGACTTCATGAAGATAGAAGTATCATTTTGTCTTTTCTCATGGATGAAAGCTGGAATATGACACTTTTTTTTTCAATCCCAGGCCTTCAGCTGTTGCAAAGCATATGGTAGCAGTTAGCACAAATCTGCCGGTATTATTATTTTTCTGACCCTTTGGTGCTGTTTGATGTGGCAACTCCATGCTTGATAACTTGCGTGTTTATTTTTCTCAGACATTCTCTTAGTTGAAGCCCTGCAGTCGTAACATTAAAAATCTTTTTGAGTATACAGTTTAGCTAACTTATACGTTGGGAAATTTGTTATCCATTCCCCAGCCACTTGGTTAGCATTTTGGGAGCACATGTTTTTGTTTGAGTTAGTGTTTTGTTAAATGAGAAGTGTATTATGGCCGATAGCCTTTTGGAAGTTAAGCTCGGTGTGAAAATAAAGTATGGCCGTCAGTGAGGTGAGACATAATATCTAAAATATATGTAAAAAGAATTAATAGTTGAGAGCTCGAGTTAGACAACATAGCTAAGGATGGGAGCGTTATTTAGGAAACTGTTTAGAATATTCTCCGCAGCAGTCAATGTGGATAATACGTCAATTATCATTCCAAAAGTCAATGGTTCTATCCTCACTCTAGCAGCTTTTGAACTAAAAAGTATTCAGTTATTGTCTCATACCATCCTCATATTCACATGTATAAGTTTCCTTTTCCTTGTGCTTTTTTCTGCCTTCTCTCATAGATTTTCAGCAGTATTCTTGATTCATGATTTTGCTGGTCCATTTGCTCCTGCTTTGAGTTAAATAATGTATTTAGGTTTTGTTCTTTGGATAAATTTTGTGGCTTTCCCACTCCCTGTATACTTTAACAGATTTGCTAATGCAGCTTGTAGAGAAGTTTGGAATTGATCCTAATAATGCCTTTGCCTTCTGGGACTGGGTTGGTGGACGATATAGTGGTAAACATTTCACGCTCATTTGAAATTCTTCTGTGGCTTTTATGCTTCTGTTGGCTATCTCACAACGAAACAGTTAAAATGTGAAGTTCAATTGCAGTTTGCAGTGCCGTGGGAGTGTTGCCTTTGTCTCTTCAATATGGCTTCCCAGTTGTTGAAAAGTATGGTTCTTTGTCTAAAATATAGTTTTTCCTCTTGTTATCTCGACATGGATAATTTTTATGTGTTTAGTGGAAACCAACCATTCATCATCCAAGTTGTTTGGGTTTTGTTTAGCAAGCGTACATAATTAGAACTGGATGGAAAAAGGTATTCGTATTTAAAGAAAAACTGAAGGACAGAAAATAGTTTATACCTATGTTCATAATCAAGAATTGCCCATGTTCGAGTTTTCAGAATTACTTTGATCTGGATTTTTTTCCTCAATCAATCTGCTATCTGGTACCCTTTATTATGATCAAACACTTCAAATTAAGCTCACAACACTTCAATCTATAATGAAAGACGACAACAACAGAAAGAACGAATTTTTTTTTAACTTGTACTGAAATTTAGTGAACCAGTTGCTTAAGTTCTGTAATAAGAGTAAAAAGTATGCTGTTTTCTGATCTGAAAAGAAAATATATTCTATTAATATTTTTTCAAGTTTGAGATGTCTAAAGATGATGTATTTCTTGCCTACAGATTCTTGAAGGGAGCTTCGAGCATTGACCAGCATTTCTACTCCTCACCTTTTGAGAAAAACATACCGGTAAGTCGGGGTGAATCTAAACTAAGTAGTTAACTTTCTGCCATTCTTCTTTCTTTCTTTGCTGTGGTTTTGTACGTTTTTGTGGTCTCTTTCTTTTGGTTTTGGTTGTATCTTTTTGTGCATGCATTTGTTCAGAAGCTGTATATTTATTTTCTTGCCTGAAAATTTTAATAATATCCTAATTTCTTCAGGTGCTTTTGGGATTGTTGAGCGTATGGAATGTTTCTTTTCTTGGGCATGCTGCGAGAGTAAGTTCTTGTCATTTTGTTTGTAGGGTCTGCGAGATTATACTTCCTTTGAAATATTTAGTTAATCTTGTTTTTTCTATCGATTCTAATAGCATCTATTACTTCCCAGGCTATCTTACCTTATTCCCAGGCTTTGGAGAAGTTTGCTCCGCACATTCAGCAGGCATGCAGCTAAACTCTTTGAATACTTTTATCCCCAGCGGTAAATTCTAAATGCTCATAACACTGTACTCTAGGTTAGCATGGAGAGTAATGGCAAGGGCGTTTCGATTGATGGGGTTCCACTTCCTTTCGAGGCTGGAGAAATCGACTTTGGGGAACCTGGAACTAATGGCCAACACAGTTTTTACCAATTAATTCATCAAGTATGTATGAATTTTGTTGTCAGTTATTGCTATAAATTGATTTCTAGTGTCGAGGGGAAGTCTGGAAGGGAAAGCTAAAGAGGACAATATCTACTGGCGGTGAGCTTGGACTTGGGCGGTTACATTTAGTTTATCTGAACTAATTATTTTTAAAAAATTTCAGGGACGTGTTATTCCTTGTGATTTTATTGGTGTTGTAAAGAGCCAGCAACCTGTTTACTTGAAAGGTATTAGAACCCTGTTTTCGTTTAGTAAAAATTTGTAGAAGTGTGATCAAAAGAAAGCCTGAATGAGGCTTTCTTCTTGCTATATCTAATTTTCCATTTGTCACACAGGTGAGGTCGTGAGTAATCATGATGAACTCATGTCTAACTTCTTCGCACAGCCAGATGCCCTAGCATATGGAAAGGTCAGTTTTCACACTTTTCTACGAATACTCTGAAAAAGAGCCATCTTCTATTGTCATACATCTGCATTCAAAATATTGTGAGGTCCCACATCGGTTAAGAAGGAGAACCAAACATATTTTATAAAAGTATGGAAACATCTCTCTAGTAAACGTGTTTTAAAAACCTTGAGGGAAAACTCGAAAGGGAAAGTCCAAAGAGAACAATATCTACTAGCGGTGAGCTTATGATCGTATTTTGTATTTCTCCCTCCCCCATTTGTGGAAATCTGAGTGATAAATTATCATGTTCATCCCAAACTATGACTTAAACATCCATTTTCTGTTTATAGACGCCTGAGCAATTGCACAAGGAGAATGTTCCAGAGCATCTTATTTCCCACAAGGTGACACTTTGATCATCACTACTACCTGTTCTTCTTTTGAATGGATTCGACAACCTAACTATATTCCTTCTCTTCAGACATTTTCTGGCAATCGGCCTTCTCTCAGCATTCTTCTTCCATCATTAAATGCTTACAACATTGGTCAGGCATGTCATCGGATACGCTTTTATTTTCTTTCAAAATACCCTTTTCTTGATGCCATGACTAATTACACTTGATCCACAGTTGCTAGCAATCTATGAGCATAGAGTTGCTGTAGAAGGTTTTGTTTGGGGCATCAATTCTTTTGACCAGTGGGGAGTTGAATTGGGCAAGGTATGCTTTTCCAGGAGATAATCATATCATAGGCATAGCAATGGCTTCGGTTTCATTGATACTCTTATATGTTATGTAATGTGTGGATGCAGTCACTTGCTACCCAGGTCAGAAAGCAACTTAATGCGTCTAGAACCAAGGGAGAATCAATTGAAGGCTTTAACCACAGTACAACAACATTGATGAAAAGATACCTAGAGGTATGATTATCCAACGAAGTCGCTGTCGATTTGATATCTTGATTGTGTATGAATCTCTCGAATGTTCATCATTAAAGCTCTATGATTTTGTTGATGTCTTATTATGCAGGCAAGTTCGGATGTCCCATCTGATCTTCCCACTCTTCTACCCAGAATTTGACTGCTTCTGGTGGCCTAGAATTTTGATATCAAATAACATAAACCAGATCATATAATTTCCTCCCTTCTTGCTCTTATTCAAACTACTTTAATGTATACGTAAGGTTTTTATCAGTGGCTCATCTTTATGTCATGTCACAGCTTTAAATAAGCGAATTTTTTCTACATTATGCAATATGTTGTATTGCAGAGCCCACCACGATGGGGAACAGTTGCATTTGCCATGCCTTGAAAATGAAATACATTGTTGAAAGCGGTTGATTGGTTTCACTTTAGTTGCTATAGGACTTCTTGATTATATCTGGTTCAACCTAAGTAGGTATCTCATCTAGTAGTTGCAAATAGATGTAAATTTGGTAATTCGTTTATTGAAGTAGCAAGATGCAGACGAAAGTTCTTTTTCGTTGTCTGATGATCATGTAGTCAACGATAAACGATGCAAAATGGTAAAAAGAAACTGCAAATCCGCCATGTCTAAGCAGGCATCTCATCTAGTAGTTGCAAATAGATGTAAATTTGGTAATTCGTTTATTGAAGTAGCAAGATACAGAAGAAAGTTCTTTTTCGTTGTCTGATGATCATGTATTCAACGATAAACGATGCAAAATGGGAAAAAGAACTGCAAGTCCGCCATTTCTAAGCAGTTAGAGATTTCTCAAACACCTGTAGAGCCGAAGCCAGATTCACCTCGGAGAGTGGAATCCAAATCCTCGACCTCGAGCACCTCAGGCGTCACAATTTTCTCAAGAATCAGTTGAGCGATTCTGTCGCCCATTTTCACCTCGAAATCCGCATCAGAGTGATTGAACAATATTACTCCCAGGGGGCCTCTGTAATCAGCATCTATCACACCCGCACCAACATCGATCGCATGCTTCAAAGCCAAACCCGAACGCGGTGCTGCAAATAGCAAAAAGACTTCAGTATCAGTCCAAGATTGCAAGAAAGATGTAAGATGGTGCGTACTTAGATTAGATTTAGAAGTACCAATTCGAGCGTAAGTTCCGTCCGGAATCGCGATGCTCAAATCAGTCGGAACCAAGCCTCTTCCTCGAGAAGGGATAATCGTATCTTTTGCACTATATTATCATACATGATCACGGTAAACGTCAAGAGCCGAAACTTCCTGCACTAGTTCATGGACATATACAGAATCACAGATAAGTCACCTGGAGAGATCGTAACCAGCGGAGAGAGCGGAGGCTCGCGATGGCAACACGGCATTATCGGACAGTTTCTTTACTCTGAGAAGCGTCGATGAATAGCTAAATCTTTCAGACTCACCGCTCTCATGAGCAAGCTTTGGTACCTTGGGCGACCGCAACGATACATTGTCTTCTGAGGGGCAGTTCTGCGCCATTGTTAGGGTTCGGGAGAAATGAGAATTGAACCTGAAATTGACGCAGGTCTGTGTGGGGTTAGAAGAAGGTGAAACGGCTTTAAATAGAGGAAGACTAGAGAGCATCGTCGATAATGGCGCCAAATTTTCCCTCCATTTCACTGCACGATAACCTATTGACATCGTACGGTGACGTTCTAGCAAGGCCCAAGGGAGAACTTCAATTCGGTTCGCTCGTTTGGACCCAACCCCGAGTGAACCGACCCGACCGGTTCAATTTTAAATTTAAAGAATTTTAACTTTCCTTTTGCAGAGGAGACTTGGCGAAGCGATGGCACAACGAGGATAAGCTACGAGCGGCGGCGAGGAGTGGCTCTGCGACGGACTAGTGGCGAACGACGAACTACCAGCGCGGCGAGGAGAAGTAACTAACGATGGTCTTGGCTGCTGCAGCGAGGAGAAGCTGCTTGCAGTTGCTTCGACGACAAAGGGGCGGCACGGCGAGGAGTGCGACTGCCCGTCGAGGAGTCCGTGGCGAAGAACGAGTGCTGAGACCGACGAGGAGCGGAAAGAAAAAAATGGCGAATACAACGGCGGAGCTAAGAATAAAAAGGCTCTTGGCTTCTTAAGGATTGTCACAGTTCGGTTCGATTTTCCCTAATCCGAACCGACCATTTATTCGGCGTTGGTTTGATTTTTTTGATTTTCTTGTGGACCCTGGGGCTGGTAGTGGATAGGGAAATGGGTAGTTTGGGCCTTTTAAATGGGCTTGTATTAATGGGCCGCTACTTGAATCTGTGTTCACATTGGGCCGAACGATCTTCTTTTGACTAGAGGTTGCTTTATCTTATTTCTTTACAAAAAATAATAATAATAAAAATCAAATCAAATCCATTTTGAATTACTAATTTTAAAAGTTAGCTTCCCATACTTACACTTGGTCTAATTAACACGTCACAGTAATATATTAAGCAAAAGATGACTGTGAGAGAAAAAAAACTAATATTTTATTATTAAAGAGGGGAGAGAAAAAACAATAAAATAAATAGAATGGAATGATCCAGTCTAAATTAAGAAAATGGTAGGTTGTGACTCGCGAAAAGAGAAGCGGTCACCCTGAAGTGGTTTCCATCTAGTCACATGAGGGGTTAGACGAGTGCCATGATGCGACCGAGAAGAACGGTACATCATCTAACACACCATACGGAGTGGGCATTGGAGACAAGTTGAGACGTGAGTAAGATAAAGACATCGAATAGACAAGAGGGACAAAGATAGGCTTGTTGAAGGGTCGGGTAGGGTCTTGGGCCTTAACCTTCAAAGTCAAGATTATGAAAGGAATTTGGGCCTGCGGTTCGGGAGTTAAGTCCATCCATATAAAATATGAATGCTCGCCAAGTTTGGTGTCAATTGAACATCGGAAGGACAATGCACGACACCGTATAATCATTCACCAAAATCATATCTATTGAAAATGACTCAAAATATATTATAAGGTACCATGGTGTTAACTCTCCCAGCCCCCACGGTCGTTTCTATGAATGAGTGTGACCTTTGTGCACCAACCCTGTTTAGACTTACAAACACATACTCTCTCGCTCACATCAATGCATATAGGCCATGCTCGTCCCCATGCCACAATAATATGTTGAATAATTGAATGAAACTTAAGGTGGTTTGCTCGTCGATTTTCTTGGACATGTTTATTTCACTTGTCATAGTGTTATTCAACCATCGTAACGTACACGTCTATCTCGATCTTATTAGGACTCACGAACTCATACTCTCTTATATGGACTTAGTGCAGTCACGCTCTTCCACAAACATGAGAAGGACACGATCTTAGGAAGAAAAATTAAACAGTTATGAGACGACGTGTCGTTTCGTCTTAACCTAACGCCGTTATGAAATTTCTCTGTTTATCTGTTTTCTATCGCGTTTTATATATTCTCACCGTAACCTCATTTTTCGACTCTCACATCGTCCTAAGCGCAATCATCACAGAAGCATAAGAAAAAGGGTTTTCTTTGTTCTATCTATCCCGCGCTCTCTCTTTATCTATCTCAACTCTCTCCGAGATCATCCATGGCCGGCCGCTTCGACTTTGGCTCTCGCCCCAATCTCTCTGTCTCCAGTCCTCTCCATGCTGCCAATGGTATTTCTCTCTCTCCCTCCCTACTTACTCTAAGCTTAGACACTATTTTTTTCCATCCCTTTTTTGATCGCCATTCTTGGGGTTTTGTACTGTTTAGCTTAACCTAGCTGAGGGTTTTTATATGACTGGATGTTTTCGGTTTAATCGTGTTTTGTGGGTGTGGTCTCGTCTGGCAGCGCTGATGGTTATCGCTCTTGGAGTTAGGGTTTTTTAGGGTATTTCGAAAATGGGGTCTCGATTTTTTCGGTTGTATTCTTAATTTGGCTCGTGGGTTTTCTTATTGCTTTGTTGGCGAATAAACAAACGAGTTTGAGTGCTATTGGTCATTGTTAATTTCGAGGATTGGCTAATGTGGCTCTTGGCCATTTCCTCCCTATACTTTTTATTCCTTTTTTTTTTCCTTTTTGATGTAAATGAAATGCTGGTCTCGGAGCTTTGCTCGAGTCATTTTTATTTGTTCACTGATGTTGGAAGGTTCTACCTTTTTAAAGCTATTTGACAATTCACGATAAGCACAGAATTTGAGTTAATATTAACCACTTGGTTTTCAGACGAGAACTTGCTTTCTTTTTGCGAATCGACAATCCTGTTGGTGCACGTTTTCTTAAGGATCTGAGAATTTATGTGTCCTTCCTTGCTATCAATACCTGTTGGAACAGTTAAACGCTCGACTGAATGTTAATATTGGTGTTCTTCGACATGAATTTAATTTAACTTTTTTTTTCTGATGGTTTGTAGAATTCTGAAACTTGAGGTTTACAAATGATTTTTTGCAGTCACTAAAAGCTTCTCTCTTGAATTTTGATGACTTTCTTTTTCTCCTCTAAAGTTTTTCGACTGTGGTTCTTTTTTGGTGCGGCGAACTTATTTTTAAAATGTATCTATTTGATGGTGTCACATATCATTCTATTTGAATGGTTTTCAATTATAGTTTCACAGCCGGAGTACGACAAAGGGTGAGTAGTAACTTAAATATGAACTGTTGATACATGTGCCTGCAGTAATGGAATTTGAGAAAGTGATTTATATATACAGTTATTTCTATTGCATTGTAGCAGCATGGCGTGGTCCTTGGGTTAATTTGAAGTTCAAATATTTATAATTTTTAAAAATTAAATGTCTCGACTATTTCTATTTACGGACATAATGTTGCAGGGTTACTTATTTTTAATATTTTTATGCAGATGTTCAGGGGTCTGAAAATCCAATTCCTCTTTCACCACAGTGGCTTCTGCCTAAACCAGGGGAGAGTAAGCATGGAATGGGAACCGGGGTGTGTAATCTGAACTCAGGCCTTACAGTTTATCTTTACCACCATATGTTTGTGATACTTAACTGCAGAGGGACATTTGAGTTTTAAGTTATATAGTGAATCCACTTTTAGTCAGTCATAATATGTTAACTGTAGATCCATTCCCTATAATTCCTGATAGTTTTTCTGGTTCTCATTAAATTTTTATGTGCAGGAAAACCATTTCAGTCATCAACCTGTTTATGGAAACCGCATGGACACGATGAAGGGATCAGAGAATTCTGAGGATATGAATGAAATACAAAAGAAAAAAGAAATTTTTAGGCCATCCTTGACTGATTCTGAAATTGGTAGGCGTGACCGTTGGCATGACGAGGAAAGAGAAAATAGTTCTTCAGTGCGTAAGGATCGTTGGAGGGATGGTGAGAAAGAGATAGGTGATGGTCGTAAGATGGATCGTTGGAATGAAGACTCATCCACAAGAGTCTTTAGAGAATCTCGCCGAGGCCCATCGGAACGCTGGTCTGATTCAAGCAATCGGGATAATGTTCATTATGATCAACGACGTGAGAGCAAATGGAACACACGTTGGGGCCCTGATGATAAGGAAACTGAAGGATTTCGTGAGAAGCGGGTGGACTCTGGAAGAGATGGTGATTTGCACCTTGACAAAAATTTCTCGCATGTGTCCAATTATGGGAAAAATGACAGGGATGGAGATCATTATCGCCCATGGAGGTCTAGTTCCTCTCAGGGTCGAGGTAAGGGAGAACCTCCTCATCATCAAACCCAAACTCCAATCAAACAAGTTCCTGCATTTTCCCATCGTGGACGTGCAGACAACACACCTCCTACCTTCTCTTTAGGTCGTGGAATCATCAGTTCTGGTGTAAATCCTCCCAATAGTATTTATTCATCTCCACATTCTCTTGGAGCTTCCTCCGAGAAATCTGGAAGAGAGCCTTACTACTACAAATATAGCAGGACAAAGTTGCTTGATGTTTTCAGGACTACCAGTCTGACATCACAGCAAACTTTAAAAGATGGATTTGTGCCCGTGCCTACTCTTACGCTGGATGAACCGTTGGAGCCTCTTGCTCTTTGTGTGCCAACTACTGAAGAAATGGTAAAATACTGCTATTTACTGTCATGTTAAGTATTCATTCTAGCTGTTTGAATGACAACTTTTTTTTCTTTCTTTTTTAGACTTTCTTGAAAGGGATTGATAAAGGGGAAATTGTCAGTAGTGGTGCACCTCAGGTGTCAAAGGATGGTCGAAACTCATCAGAATTTATGCAGACTAGACGAACAAAACTTGGTGTTTCACCTTCCCTAGGTTCAAAATGCTTCCCGTTAATTTTTTTTTATTTTGGTGCTTGGTTTTTTGTTCGAATTTGAATTAGTGGGGAATTCACCACCTTGGACCCTGTTTGTTTGAGCAGGCAGTAGAGAGGATTTACCTCATGGCTTTGATGATTGCAATGATGATAAGGATGATAGCACCACTAAACCTGGTCACACAAACTATTCAGAGGTCACTACCGAGAGGCAGTTGCCATATCATAGGCCCCTGGCACATGCTAGTAGCACCTTCAAATCTGAAGGTAAGTAACACCGTAACTGGAGGGTAAAAGGTTTGGAATGTTACTGTTGCTACCTGTTGTCTGATGATGTGGGTAGAAATGTTTTTAGTGTTATTTTAATTTCTCTTAGTTAAGGCTCTATTTTATCACAAAGATCTTAGTTGGAGAGGATTTTCTTAACT